ACTCACATTTTTATGACTTATCTATACTATCTACTGAAATTAAATGAAATTGTTCAAATTAAGCAAAAAAAAAAAAAAAAAAAAAAAAGCAGGAATAAAATGTCAGATTTGTAGTTAACCTGTAGAGTATGGACACTATGTTCAACATTTAAGACAAAGATATATAGCTCAGTGGTAAAGTACCTGCTGAACATATGGGAGGCCCCGCAATCCACAGGACTGCAAAAAAAGAAAGTTTACATTGTTCATCTTGTGTGAATAAAAGGAAATGGGAGAAACTGACTCTTAACCTTTGACAAGATTTTACCTAATGTAAGTCTTTTTCTAGGTGGGGGTGTTGCTCCACACTTGTTATCCCAACATGCTGGCAAACTGAGGCAGAAGGATCACAGGTCCCAGCCGACCCTAGGCATGTTAGTGTCTTGGCAAGATCCTGTCTCAAACAAACAAAGACTGGCTGTGTAGCCACCAGTGAGCCTGGGTTTGATCCCCAGTACAAAAAAAAAATGATAGGGCTGGGGATTTAGCTCAGTGGTTTTGCTGCCTGCTGCACAAGCACAAGGACCCGAGTTCGATCCCCGGTACCAAAAAAAAAAAGTTTTTTGTTTTTTTTTTTTTTTTTTTTGTGAGAACAACTAGTAAATGGTATCTGTCACAGCAGCTTTTACAACGCTGCACAGAGGGCTGGGGGTGTGGCTTAGGGACAGAATGCTTGCCAGCGAGCTCTAGGTGCTAGATTCAGTCCCCAGTATCAAAAAGGCAAAACCAGGGCCAGAGATTTAGCTCAGTGGTTTCGCCGCCTGCTGCGCCAGGTGCAAGGACCAGAGTTCGATCCCCGGTACCAAAAACAAAACCAAAAAAAGGCAAAACCAGAAAACAAAACATACCCTGCCTTCACAGGACAGCCAGGAGACGGCCCTGTTCCCATAACCCGGGGAGAGCAAGCCAGCCAAGGACGAGCCAGTCTGGCCCTCGCGGGTCCCTGAGGCCCGCCTGGGTCCCCTTCCCTCCCCGTGTTTGCTCTGCGACCCGGCCCGGGGGCCTCTCAGCCTGCTAGCGCCCCCAGTGGCGGCTCCGAGCCCTGCCCTCCGAGGCGCGTTCTGATTTCCTCCGGGGGCAGCTGATTTCTCCGCCTGGAGCGCGGCGCGGGACGGGCCTGGGTAGAGGAGGCACCGGCTTCCGTTTCCAACGCCACAAAAAAGAAAACAAATCCTGTTAGGTGCCGACACGAAAAGAAACAGAACTCTGCTGTGTGGTTTGTCTCCCTCTAGCGATGTCTTGGAGGCCGGCGCCGTGGAATGGCTTGTCCGGAAGACGGACAAAGTCCCTAGGCCCCGAAGGGACCCAAGCTGGCTGCCCATGGTCTCGGCCGGGACTCGAGTGCCGCACAGCGACCCGCAGCTGCACGTGCGAGCAGGGCGAGTCCAGGATTCAGTCGCAAGATGGGGACAGGCCCGCCCTGCTGTCCCCAGGCCCCTGGCTCTGGGGGAAAGCAGCTGCCAGGCTGTGGAGCAGCCCCGGGGGCGCCTGCATGGCCGGAAGTGACGCCCTCCACACCCTCTGCCCGCCTCTCCAGGCCATGAGTGGGGGGCTCGGTCCCTGGGCTCTGGGGGCCCCTGAGGTCGCCTCAGGGGAGCCCCAGGCCTGACACAGACACACACACACACACACACACACACATTCCCCCGCCATGGAGGGCGCCATCTTGGAAGTGCACCTGGTCTGCCCTTAAGGAGAGCTCGGCTCCGCCCACACCTGACTGAAACCATGAAGATGCTGGAGCAACCCACCCAGTAACCCACTCTCAATTTCCGGGGCACAAAATACACAAATAATATACATAATAACATAAGGGCATAATAAACAAATCTTGTGTGAGCCACTGAGTTTTGGTATTGTTATTTGTTACCCAGAAATCAATATCTTATATGCTAGAAAGAGAAGATTCTGGCTTTGAGTTTTCTCTTCCCATGAGCCATATATCACCTTTTTTTTTCTTGCTAAAGATAGAGCCCAGAGCCTGAGCTACCCTCATTACTCCTTATCTTAACTTTATAGGCGAGGAAACGAAGACTCAGACAAGTTATTTGTGCAAGTTTAGCATTTAAGTAATAAAATTGGTAATGTTTAGGTTTTCTGATACATAGACTTTTTGCACCCTTTAAGTTGCTTTCTGTAATTCTACGTAATGTATTTATCCTGGCTTAATAAGTGATTGCAGTTTCTAGGCAGGTCTTGCATTAGCTGCTAACAGGGAATATGAGCAGAGGAGAGCAGGTCTAGGGGGTTCAGTGCGCAGCTGAGCTGTGGGTTGATGGAGTGGTGAGGGGGTCACTCTGAGAAGGGAAGTGGAGAGGAACAGATACAAAACGGCAGGAAGTAAAGGCATCAGAGTGGGTTTGCTTAGGAAAGAGGAAAGGTAAAAGGATCAGTCAAAAGTCCACCCAGGGCCGGAGATTTAGCTCAGTGGTTCTGCCCCCTGCCTCATAAACACAAGGTCCCAAGTTCGATCCCCGGTACCAAAATAAATGAATAAATAAATAAATAAATGCCATAGGTCCTTCCTATCTTGTTTCATGACTACTTACATGTTTTTATATTGCTTATAACTCACTTTTTTTTTTTTTGGTACTGGGGATCGAACTCAGGTCCTTGCACTTGCGCAGCAGGCGCCGAAACCACTGA